CCCGGTTAAAATATTTTATGTGTGTTGCCTACATGTAGGTAAGTGCACCTGTGTCATGCAATGCCCATGGAAGATAGAAGAGGCTGTTGGATCCCCTGGAACTGGAGTTACGGACAGCTGTTAGTTGCCATGTGGGTGCTGGGATTCGAACCCAGGTCATCTAAAAGAACAGTCAGTGGTCTTAACTGCTGAGCCATCTCTCGAGCTTAAATTGTTTTAATAATATATAAGATCATAGTTGCAGATATTCTCCAAAGTAAAATATTAGCTCTAAATTTTATTTTTAAATTATTTCTCTCTTCTCTCTTTCCTTCCTTTCTTCCCTCCTTCCCTCCTCTCTCTCTCTCTCTCTCTCTCTCTCTCTCTCTCTCTGTTTTTCTTTCTTTTATGTGTATAAATGTTTTTCCTGCATGTATATAAATGTACCTGGGTCATGCAATGCCCTTGGAGACCAGAAGTGGGTATCAGGTCCCCTGGAACTGGAGTCATAGATGGTTGTTAACCACCATGTAGGTGCTGGAAACAACCTGTGTTCTCTGCAAGAGCAGCCAGTGTTCTTAACCACTGAGCCAACTCCACTTTTAAATTATTATTGATGTTTTTCTTACTCCTCTTTTTTTTGTTTTTGCTTGTTTTATAACAGATTTATTTATTTTTGTTTTGTTTTTGTTTTTTGGGCCTTTTTAAGACAATATCTCCCTATAGCCCCAGCTGTCATGGAACTCACTATGTAGACCAGGCTGGCCTTGAACTCAGAGATCCACCTGCTTCTGCCTCCCAAGTGCTGGGATTAAAGGTGTGTGCCACCATGCCTGGCTATAACAGATTTATTTTAAAGGGCAAAACATTCAGTTTAAATACAAGACTGGGGCACTGGAGAAATGGCTCAGCCATTAAGAGCACTGGCTGCTTTTGCAGAGGATCAAGGTTCAGTTTCCTGCATCCACATAGCGGCTAATGCCCATCCTTAACTCCAGTTCCAAAGGAGCCGATGTCCTCTTCTGACCTCTGTGGTCATTGCAAGACATGGGTGCACTTACATACATGCAGTCAATACACTCATATACATAAAATAAAAATAATAAATAAAATATTAAAAATAAATACAAGTCCAACAGAGTTGTGGCCAGTCAGCAACGATACCACCATGTGTTCTCTCCGCCGATACTTGCCAGTGTCCTCTGTGTCGTCTCCAAGAGGAAAAAGGTTTTAATACTTTATTATATACATCCTTCTTATCTGCAATGTAATCTACAATTTCTTGTGGAAACCCTAACCCTAACTCCTCTCCACAGGTATCAGTTGCCAATAGTTCCTCAGCTAGGGTTGGGGTTTCTTCTCTACTTCCTCATGCCTATGCTGGGATTTTGTCTGGCTTGAGTTTATATGGGACTTGTGCATGTAGTCACATTGCTGTGAGTTCATCTAAGTAACAACCCAGTTGTCTGGAAAACTCTGTTTCCTTATGGTCATCTATCACCTCTGTCTTTTACAATCTTTCTGCCTCTCTTTTGCAATGATCCCTGAGCTTGGGAAGCAGAAATTTAATACAGATGTCCCCTGCATGTTGGCCTGTTATGGGTCTTTGTGTTAATCACTGTCTGCTTCATGAGGAAGCTTCTCTGATGAGAGTTGAGAGATGGCATAAATTGATGTATATAACAATAAGCCTTTAGGAATCAGTTTAATACTATGTCTATTTAGCAGAATAATAATAGTTTCTCTGCTGTTGGCTGTGGCCTGTTTAGCCACAGGTTCCTAGGCCTCCTATCAGTGTCAGGTATGTGCTCCATCTTGTGAAGCAGACCTTAAAGCCAATAAGAAAGTAGTTGGTTACTCCCATAACATTTGTGCCACTATTTACCAGTGGGCATATCTTGCCAGACCAGTTTTTGTTGTAGCTTACAGGATTCACAGGGAGTATGGGGAGGAATAGCTAATACTAAAGGCCTTTAGAAAAAGTCATATGTAAACCTTTCACTATAGATACTTCTTAAAGTATATACATATACAATATAAAAGGAAATTTAAAGGAATTACCTTATATTGGGGACATTGTCCCTACTAGATACCACAGGCTAGCAAAGAACTCAGTGCCAGGATGGAGTCCCTCTTTTGAAGATGTTGACCAGGGGTCCCATAGACCCTCAAACAATACTGTCCATTGCTCCTGCTGTTGGTTACCCACCAGAACTTGATGGTAAGATTACATTGCTGAAGACTACATACAAGAACTGTAATACAAACAAGGAGAAATAAGCTAATGCTGATTCAGAGCTTTATCTCTACTGGCTAGCTTTCATAGTGCTGGAAGGTACTGCGTGTGCAACCAGAAGAGAAAAGTAACCATCAACCTTCATTTCCATCCTTATAACTGTTGTGGTAGATGCTCAATTTACTTTACATGGAAAAATAATAAATTTACATTGTGAAACATACACTTAGGAGTTTGAAAACATTTGGCCTTTTTTCTTTTCATAATCTATATTTTGAATAATTAAAAGAATTTAAGACTTTTGGGACTGGAGAGATGCTCAGCAGTTAAGAGTTCTGGCTGCTCTTGAAGAGGCTGCTTTTGTAGAGGACCTAGGTTTGATTCCCAGCACCCACAAGGCGGCTTGCAACCATCCATTACTCCAGTTCTAGGTGATCCGACACCCTCTTCTGACCTCTGGGCATTGCACAGCATGGGTGCACTTAAATACATACAGGCAATATACTCATACACATAAAATAAAAATAGTAATAAAGATTTGTGTATTTTATCTCTCCTTAATGTAATATCACATCAAGAATTAGTAAGCTGTGTGGGTTGGACTACTGCTGAGGAACTGTATTCATGCAGTGATGACCACCAGATAGTGAAGTGGAACTTGTTAACCAGTGAAACAAGTCAAATAGTCAAGCTTCCTGATGACATCTACCCTATAGATATTCATTGGTTTCCAAAAAGTTTAGGCATAAAGAAGCAGACTCAGGCAGAAAGCTTTGTTCTCACAAGTTCTGATGGTAAGTTTTTAGTGAATGGTGTGTACAAATCTTTGTATTTAAAAGATAATATATTACTATGATTTGTGCTTTGAGTTGTGTTATTTGATATTGGTATACTAGCACCTGCTTGTCTTATTTTCTTATATGATCGTGATAAATTTTTTTTTTTTTTTTTTTTTGATCCTCTACAGGATCTCCCTGTAGTCCCAGCTGACCTGAACTCACTATGTAGACTAGGCTGGCCTTGAACTCACAGAGCGTACGCCACCACGCCTGGCTGATCTTGATAATTTTTAAGAATACAGGCCTTTTATTTGATTGAAAGTTTCTTAACTTTTATTTGTATGTTTCTTAATGATTTGATTCTGTTTACAAGTTTTTAGCAGGAATAATTAGAAGACTAGGAGACTCATGATGTTGATTAGACTCATTTCTGGTGATGTTAACTTTCCTTACCTGATAGTATGTGTTTGCTAAGTTAATTTACTGTTACATAAGTATTTTCTCTCTTTTAATAGGTTGTGAGAGAATATTTTGAGACTACATAAAAAATTCTGTTCCTTCTCAGACTTCCTCTTATCTCTTCGCTCTATTGATGATTCTTGGCTAGATCATTTATTACCAAAACGGTTGCCAAATGCTAGCTTTTCTATCTCTATAATCTTGTTCATATGAAATTGTTGGTGTCCTGCTGTAAGGAAACTTTCTGTCCTTTGTCCACTTCTTTTATTCTTTTAATGTCAGGCTGGCCTCATAGATGTTTATTTTATTTCACGAGTTTTTCTGTTACTGTCATTTCTTAATCTTGATTTTTTAAAATTCTCTGTTATTTGGCCAGTGAGAACTCCATTAGCGCAGCCAGCTACATTGTTTTTTTTTCTTTTCTGGTACTTGTACTCATCAGTTTTTAAGCACTTCCTTCCGTACTGGCACAAGATGTTCTAGGCTTATCTTGTAGTTTTCAGTCCTAGTTTCTAAATCAGCCATTTTCCGAAGAGGCTTGTTTTTGGATGCTCAGTGATATTTAAAAGTCAAGATATGGACATCATTAGCAGTGCTCATTCCAATGGGGTTTGTTTTCCTCTAGGCTCCCTCAGACAGAACTAAGAAATAGAAATATAAATGTATATTTAAAAATTCAGGATTACTGAGATAGCTTAGTGTGGGTGAAGGCACTTGCCGCCAAGCCTGATGACCCGAATTCAATCCTCAGGATCCACATTATGGAAGGAGAGAACTGACTGTTAAAAGTTGTCCTCTGACCTCCATATGTTCTCCATGACATGTGTGCCTCCCCCCCCATAAATATATAAATGTAACAAATTTAAATGCATGTCAGTAGCCATTTCTCTCTGTCTTTCTAAACCTTGAATTTATTCTGATAAGACCAATTCTAATACAACACCACAGGGTTAATTCTAATTTTTTCTTTTTCTAACTTGGAAATAACGGGGAGCTCTGGTTCTATTATTAATATATTTATCCATTTGTTTAATTTTATAATACAGTTTTCAGAATTAATAACTTACACTACTATAAAAATTAATCCGTTCAATATTTGTTTAATGTTGCTTTTCTCTGTTTTTGTCTTTCCCATCCTCCTTTAGCCTCCTCCCCATTCTACTCTCTATCTCCCTTCCCCTTTTCCTCCCTTCCCCTCTCCTCACCTCTCCTCTTCTTCACCTCCCTCTCTTTTCTTGTCCATCTCCCTCTTCCTCTCCATCTTCCCTCCCTTTCCCCCTCTCTTTTGACAGGACCTTACTATGTAGCCTATGCTGGCCTTGAACTCACTGAATAGCCCAAGGTGGCTTAGAACTGTCTGTCCTCCTGACTACCTCCCATGTGCTGATACTACGAACATATCTTGCTCATGGACATTTGTAATCTTTAAAAATGTGTTTCATACATTTTAAATATTTTTTTCATTTATAATTAATTCAGATTACTTCAAAAAATAGTATTAAATTATTTTTAATTTACTAAGACATTTTATTCCTTTGGGCTCAAATATCTTTTTTTTTCTTTTTTTTCCCCGGAGCTGAGGACTGAACTCAGGGCCTTGGCAAACGCTCTACCACTGAGCTAAATCCCCAACCCAGATATCTTTCTAATCTAAACCACCCATCTTTTTGCTTAGTAAATGAAATATACTATATATGTTTATCATGCCACTTGCTTCAAGTTTTCATAATTTTGTTTCTGTATCTTTTTCCAATGGATTTGTATGTTTTTTGAGATTGGGAATAATTACTATTTGCTCTTATGACCCTAGTGCCTAATAACTCCTGATTAATAGGAGCTCAACAAATATTAGAATATTGAATAAATTAATAAATAGATTTCTCACAAATAATTTCTTTTAGGAAAATTCCATCTAATTTCTAAGTTAGGAAGAGTGGAAAAAAGTGTAGAGGCCCACTGTGGAGCAGTGCTTGCAGGAAGGTGGAATTATGAGGGAACAGCATTAGTTACGGGTAAGTTATCAGCAAAATCACTCCCCTTCTTTTGCTGTGCTAGGCTGGGACTGAAACCTGGGCCTTTCACATGCTACACAAGTGACCTACCACTGAGGAGTATCCTCTAGCCCAAACATGAATTTTTCAGTGAATTTTTGGAGAAAATGCCTCAAATGAAATATTTTCATTTAGTCATAGTACGCTTCCTTGGCTAGGAGCAAATAATTGTCACAGGATCAATCTAGACAACTGTGTAATGGTGTTCAGAATGTCTTCTTTTTTCTATGTTGAGTTAGGTTATTTATTTATGTTTATGTATACATAAACATAATGTGTGCCATGTATGTACAGGTGCCCACAGAGACCAGAAGGCTTCCAATCCCTTGGAACTGGTGTTAACCACTGTTGTGAACCATTTGATAATAAGTGCTGGGAACTGAACCCAGATTCTCTGGAAGAGAAGCAAGCACTCTTAGCTCTCTGTCCAGCCTGAGACAAAGTTTTGACATGTAGTCCAGGCTGGCCTTATATTCACTTTGCAGCTCAGTCTGTCCTCTTATTGGCAATCATCCATCTTCAGCCCCCTGAATGTCAGGATTATAAGAATGCACCACAATGTTCAGTTTCTGCATATCAAAACTAACAATTTTTTTTTTTTTTTT